CAGCAGGATCGAGCAACGTAATTTCAATGTTTAAGGTTGGGAAAGAGGGTGATAAAGATTATTAGCAAGACCTGGATAGAGTCAGCAAGAAGAAGAGTTTCCATGCTTTAGTGCTAAATCAGACTTCCTGAAAGGTTATTGTTTTAAAACTGCTAGAAAAGCTGCTGTGCTTTCCTGCATCAGGGTGAAACTCTCAGAGAGCAGAAGTAGCTCAGCTTCTTATGACATTTTAGAGAAGATTTTGGCAACTAAATAAGCTTTCAAAGATGTGTAATAATATAGTTTACATAAACACTCCTCATCATACATACACTAAAACCCATAAAAATTGCATAAAGTTTTTTTTTAAAAAAAAAAGAAAGTACAACATCTTAGCAAGCATCATAACCATTTAAAGTTAGGGTAAGATATATTCACTTTATACAGTGTCTCTAATACGTACCACTGTCTAGCATAAACATCTGAAATTAGTTCTGAACAAATCCATGCCTTCCAGAATGTCTTCCCAGAGTCCAGCTGTCCGGCTTTCCATGCATTTGGAGGTGCCAAACAGAGCTCTGATAGAAACACCTCAGAAGAGGCAGGGACCAGATGCACCCAAGATTAAGTTTCAGGCTACATGCTAAAGGATGATCCTGGCTGGAAGCATGGATTGCTATTCAGAATAAGCCGCAGGTAGCAGCTATCTGTTGGATAGCTTTATTCAGAAGCTTACAGGTTGCTCCCAGGTGCCAGGGCGGTTTAGACTTGGCATTCCAGGCTAACCCCCGCAGTAGGGATGCACTTTGGATGTGCTGACGGGCTCCAACGTTCTCCCTCCTGCATCGTGACTCCCCAGAGAGCTCCAGGGCTCTGCAGCCCTTGTGCTGGGCAGCTGCCCTCTGCGCTCTCCAAAAACACCTGAAACACCCTGTAATTCACGCTGCGCTTCCATACAGCCTCCTCACCTCTAGTAATTGATTATGTCCATAGTGGATACAGCACATGTATTTGCTTAAGCAGCTGCGTCCCCAAGGTTATTTACAACGTAATGAGAACACTGTCCTTTGGCAACTGCTTCCCATCAGCACAAGCACTAGGATCAGCCGCTCGGGAAACCCAGGAGATGTTTCTGCTTCGTAAAGATCTACCCAACCCTGCTTCCCGAGCCCAAGCAGCGGCCAACGCGGGGCCACGAGGAGGGACGCGGAGCGGCCCGGGCTGCTCTGCTCCTGCCTCAGGAGCAGCTCCAGCTCACGCAGCTCGTGGCTGTCACTGCTGGACGCCAGAACACGCGGGTTGGGAAGCAGAAATCGGGCTATTGTCTGGCTTCTGGGTGAAAAAAACAGGAGAAAGATGAAACAGTGATCTAATACACATGACATGAGAAAGATCAAAGCGTTACGCAGTTGTCACAGTGTTTGGAGGGGGGCGTGTTTGTTTGCTTCTGCTATTAAGGACTAAATAAATCCAGGCTGAAATTATAAGGGCTAACCAAGGGTAAATTGGTATTGTTCCTGCTGGGCAGGGCCGGCAAAAGAAACGAAGCCCAGAACATGCTAAAGAATCAGCACAAAAGGCCAGTGCTCAAAGGGGAGGCTCCACTACGTAGAGGCCAGCACGCGACGGAGGGGCCTTTTGCAGAGCTCCCCTGCCCTGGGACAAGCTGCAATACCAGGTTGCCTGCAGGTTCTGCTAACCCAGAGGGTGCTCACAGGTTCTGCTAACCCAGAGGGTGCTCACAGGTTCTGCTAACCCAGAGGGTGCTCACAGGTTCTGCTGACCCAAAGACGGGCGCTGTTCACCCAAGCCCAAGGACAGGCCGGGTCAGGGCTCTCTGCACGGGCTCTGCTGCTGGGGTTGTGCAGATAGTTTTGACAGAGCGTCTCTCTTAGCACTACCTTGCTGCTTACTCGTTTGCTTTTTCTTTTTGCAAATGCAGCTCTGTGGCCGAAGGACGGAGTTCAGAAAGTTTTCCCCGTGCTAATAATCTGAATCTAAAACATTGACCCTAATGTTCACAGCTTTGGGAAGCAGGTGAGAGTACCAGAGCAAGTGCTGGTACAAGGAAGGCAGCTTCCTGCTCCCACAGAGAGATTCCCACAGGCAAATGTGTGGTGGGAAGGCTGTGAATACCAAAACTCGCACCACAGCATTTAAGAAGCCTCCCTGGCTCATTGCCTCCTTCCCTCTAGCTGTATTTCAAAGACTATAGTGTTGCAATGCAAGTAAAAAGCTCTAAAAGGAGAGCCAGAAAACAAGGATTTATGCAAGGAGAAGCTATTCCCTTTTGAGCAAATTGACCAGCAAACAGGGGTGGCACTTCCTTAATCCGCAAGGCAAAACGAGCACGGAACCGCCTGGACAGGAGGGCTGGGGTTAGGTTTGTGTGTCGTGCATGGATTCATTGCAGGGTCCCTCCAGCAGATGTCCCACGTACCACAGGCTTCTCCCCATGGAGCATCTCATTATAGAACTGCTCAGTATAATCCAAGATGGATTATTTTCCTCTGATTAATAATGCTTTGGAAATATTTCAGAGGAATTACTCATAGACCAAATATTACTTAGTCTGAGCTGAGAAACACTGTCTTTGCAGCACAATGTTTAGATTAATTCCTGAGGCAAATTAAAAACATACCCATCCCCATTCCCCACTGAGGGATTCATTGAAGAGCTTACACAAACCGGCTTCTAAAACCTCAGGCCAGGATGAACTGTACCGCTGCACTCATAGCACTGGCCAGAGCACTCTGTTTTAGAAGTATTTCCCTTGCAGTAACTAGAGGGACTGATGTTTATAGCGTGGGGTAACTGCCTCCCAAGTTAAACACATTCTCAGGCTGACAGTTGATCCACTTAGTAAACCCAGGATACAGGAAGTATTTTCAAGTTCATATTGCAATAATTAACTATTGCACTGTTGAAACATGACTGGGTTATTAACGATAAGCTGCAGATGAACAGGATATTGCTGTGGATCCCAGGCTAGCATCTTGTCTGTAACTGTCTGGGTCTTGCTCTAAGTGCCTGTATCCACCAAGCCAAGTTCGCCTCCAGTGACTCCTCACCAGGGGAAAAGACCTCGCAGGACGCAGGGTGACTCCTGAGGAGAGAGGCTCCTTCCTGCCCCTTTCCCTGGGCACAACCACGGTGCAGAGAGGGGCACCCCGCACGCCAGGGCCCAGGAGCGGGGACACCAACAGGGCCTGTTCAAACCACCTGCACGATTGGCTTCACAGAGCAGCGTGGAGGAAGAGCTCCCCACACCCCGCTGCTCTTTCCCAATCCAGAGACCCCCTGCCTCCAGGAGAGCCTTCCTTTGGCTCCACGGGGCCTGGGCAGCCGCACGCTCCAGCTCTGCGGTGCTAACGCTGCGGTTCGCCCGGCCCCGAGGCACAGGCAACTCGCTAACACGTCCAGCACAGCCCCGGTGCCCAGGGGAAAGAGCTGCCCCTGTCCCTTCCACCTGCCAAAACCTGCAAACAGGCATGTAAGGCAGGGTCAATTAACCCTCAGATACCTAAAAACATCGTTTTAAGTTGTCCATCAAATGTAGATAATGAAAAGGAACCATTACAAACAGGAAGTTTTTTGTACAGAAGCTGGGAAGTGCAGGCTTCTCAGCACTGCCTGTGAGCCACAGAAGTTGCAAAAAAGACATTTATTGATAAAACAAAGCTTGCTTCTGGCATTGTTCAGCCTAACTCGTACTCATGCCACTAAAGTAACTTCTTTCATGGGGCAGTTTCCACAGCTAAGGTTATTGGAGGTACCAGTTAAGTATTTTAATATAATTCAATTCCCTGGGATAATCAACATAACCACCATGGAAGCCTTCATGTGCTGTAGCTGCCAAGGGAAACAGATCTGAAGTATTGCTCCTGCTCCAGCTCAGGAGGACAGGCCAGCCAGCCTGCTGCATTCACAACCAGACACCTTGAAGCAAAAATTCACGTTTCTGTCCACGGTGTCACAGGGCCGATATGATTTGTTACAGAGATGCCCTAAAGTCCAGTGAGCTCAGTGGAAGTTTTCCAAACTGGAACCACTCAGTGACTTCAAAGCCCACCCATGTAAACCTAGAGTTCCCTTAGGCACTGGGGATGCTTTAACCTGGAAGCTTACATCACTTCTTGACCTGTAGTTTGAACTAATGGAATTTTGTTGGGTTATTGTAGTCAAAACTTCAGACAACTACC